AACACAGCTGGACTCAAATGAAGGTGTAGAACCATCTCTGGGATGATCAGAAGAAATGGACAGCACCTAAGTTAAATATATGAGTGTCACAGCAAAGGGTCTGAATACTTATGACCATGTGATATTTCAGTTTTTCTTTTTTAATAAATCTGCAAAAATGTCAAAAATTCTGTGTTTTTCTGTCAATATGGGGTGCTGTGTGTACATTAATGAGGAAAAAAGTGAACTTAAAGGATTTTAGCATATGGCTGCAATATAACAAAGAGTGAAAAATTTAAGGGGGTCTGAATACTTTCCGTACCCACTGTACATTAATGTGAACTGTGCCACTCTGTATAATGAGTACTTTTACTATTGGTACTTTAAGTATATTAAGAGTTAATTAATTCATTAATAAGAGTACTTCTTCCACCACTGATTATGTTTTCAGAGCATACACACAGCCAGTTAGCATAATAACACTACTGAGCAGTCATTGCACACTACATCAGAAAGAAGGAAAACAGTTTTCAGGGCCTGTAGCTCCAGAAAAAACGTTTTGTTTATAATTAGGCAAATATATTTTATGTTTTAAAAATATATAAATAAATCCACAATTCAGTAACAGTTTAGGTATTGTATACTGTAAGTGCTGCAAGCAGTACAGTATTGGATCTCTGCAGATTCAGTACATGTAAAAATACAGTACTACAAAAGAGTAAAGACATTACAGTACATTGTAAAATCAACATCAACAAGTGATTCATTTGGCCTCAGTCACTTCTTTGTGCTGGGTCAGCCCAGAGGGCTCCATCCACCAATCTCCCTAATCTCAGCCCCCTTTGCTTCCTCCTCATACACCACCTTTTCCCCACACACACTCTTACTCCTCTGTCTGTCAGACTGTTCCCATCCACTGTTGGTTTCAACCTTCAGCTCACTTGTGCCACCTGTGCACTCTGTGTTCAGAGCTTATATTGGCTCCATCACATCAACAAGTGTCAACAATTTTGAGGTGTAGTGTGTAAACGATTCCAGATGTGCTGTAACTGTGTTTAACTGCTGTCACCTGTGTTTACCTGTATCACAAGTGAAAACTGCTTTATTGAGTATGTATGTAGAGTTTTGCAAAAAAGTTGAATCGGATATGAAAACTAAGGTTATGTTCAGAGAATGAGGCGTAGTGTTTCAGAAGAACTAACTTTGCTGCAGTGATGTAGAAGTGTACTCCAGGGGATGTCACTAATGTAATGTCACTGGTGGGTGTGGCATCAGACTTGAAACTTCCATCTAGAGAGGGCAGTTAAACACTGCTTTTCAGACTGAACCTAATAATAAAATGTTTTAATTATGTTGCAGAAATGCAGGGTTGCTTTACTTTGAATAAAATGTTAGAATTTTAGCAGAAGCAAAACTGAACAGAAACAAACTAATTGGAGTTAATGGTGCTGTTGTGGTAACTGTAATATCAGAATTTCTGGAAAAGGTAAATTCCCACTAAGCCAGATATTCTCAACTCTGTCTTTAATTAATTATAACTACATTTGGTCAGACTGACAGAGAATTTGATAACAGTGATGCTATCACAGATGGAAGAGAGGACAGAAACCATCCATTGTGAAGCCTAATCTAAAATCTTAATTGCTTCTGAAACAACTCATGGCTTGACTGACATAACAATTGTCACAGTAGACCATTGCATTCAGTTTCTCAAACTACTGGAACAGGGAATGAACTTAGAAAACAATATGGACAAGATGTAGATAAATTACATCATCTCTACAAATTATATGTTACTTCTTTTAGTGATTTCACTTATAACTACCCCAGTGTTTCAATCAAATGTAAAACAAAAAGATTGCACCAAAGGGTGGAAGCTCCTGCCTCTCCTAAACTGACAGGTCCTTTAATACAGGGATTAACAATACACAGTAGGCAGATCCAAGTTATTCTACTACAGATTGACAAAACAATACCAACTCAAGGTCAACTTGCAGTACAAGCTTTAGTCAAAGCTTCACATGGTCTTAATTGGTGAACAGAGTTTGCTCTGTTGTCATGGAGACAGATCTGTTGACATGCAAGCTTTGTAGCCATTATGATTTCATCCATCAAGTTATTTTTTCTGGTGCTATTAAAAATTTGACAGTTGTATTTCAGTCAGTAGGCTTTTTTTTCCACAGCAGATATTTTGACATGTCACAGTAGGAAAGACATGTAAACACAGGCATCATACCCATTCAGACTGAGGGGGCACATACCCCCTTAAATGTATATATCAGATGGTTATAGTAATTATTAAATTCTACACTGCTCAAAAAAAAAAAAAAGGGAACACTTGATCATCACAGTATAACACCAAGTCAGTTAAACTTCAGAGATATTGATCTGTGATTGGGACTCTGTTTCACCTGTTTTGGTAAAAATGAAAGTGACAACAGGTGCAATGCAGAGGCAAAAGCAAGACAACCCCCAAAAGGGAATAGGTTTGCATGTGGTCGCCACAGACACACCCAGGAGCATGGAGGAGATACTAGGACACCAGCCGTTACACCAGGGGAGCTGGACAGGGCTATTGAATGGCAACGACCCAGTAGCAGGACCAGTATCTGCTCCTTTGTGCAAGGAGCAACAGGAGGAGCACAGTGAGAACCCTACAATATGACCTCGGGCATGAGGTCTTGATTTCCTCTAGTATGATCTGTGCTCACGTCTGGGGAGGTATATCCTTGGAGGGCCACACAGACCTCCGTGTCACAGTCAACGGTACCCTGACTGCTGTGAGGTACCAGGATAAAATTCTCAGAGCGATTGTCAGATCTTACACTGGTGCAGGGGGCCCCGGGTTCCTCCTGGTGTTGCACAATGCCAGACCTCATGTGGCCAGAGCATGCAGGCATTCCCTGGATGACAAAGGCACTGACACCACTGATTGGCCCTCATGTTCCCCTGACCTAAATCGGTGCATCCGATGCCACCAGGTACCATCACAGATTGTCCAGGAGCTCACTGATGTCCCCATCCAGGTCTGGGAGGAGATCCCCCAGGACACCATCTGCTGACTGATCAGGAGCTTCAGCCATTTGACGTTTTGACTGAAGCAGCTCAGTCTTAAGTTGGCACTAGAGGATAAGTCAGGGTCGCACCATATTCCTCAGGATTAATTGTCTAAGAACCATGAATGCCTTGTACAAAATTATTGGGCTGATCCATAAGCACATTTCTCTCGATAAATGAAAACATTGACCTAGTGATGGCATTAAGTCAGGGGATCACCAAAGTAATTAGGACACACTACCTAGGTACCGTGTATATCTGTACCTCATGGCAGTCTATTCAATAGTTCAGTCTGGAGCCACCATCATGGCTAAAACTATAGACTGGGGCACTGATGTGTAGGTCTAGCTGCAGCCCTCCTGTGGGTTAGCACTGTTGCTACTGTGACAAGCTGCTGAGGCCTGAATCATTTGTATAATGTTCCTTGATGATATGTGAACACACCATCAGGCAGGACCTTCCTTCTTCCCCATTGTGCCTCAAATCTACTACTCGAGTTTCTCCCAAGAGACTTGAAGAAATTCAATTACTAGCAACCAAACAGACCAAATAAAACACGACACTGGAGCAGAATGGGCTTCTACTGTGAGATGAAATTGAATGAACCAAACTATTGCTCTCTCCTACGGAAGCTATTATAGATAACAAGCATGAGGCTTAATGGGCTGTAGTGCTAGGAGGCATTCTCAGTCACCCTGTTGCTTCCCAAAGCAGCCAGTCATCAGAGAATAGTTATGCATTTCAATTCAGACAGACCTTCACGGCTCACGGCACAACCATTCAAGCTCTGAGGCAATGATAGTCTGAGAGTTCCAGACTGTGGGTGTGAAAAAACACTGAATATTTCGTTTTGTGTTTTTCCTGAGCTCTTTGGATGGAAGAGTCTGTTTTTGCTGAAGCACTTGGTGGCCACATGCCTTTTACTGCAGGTGCAACCATGCTGGAATAGCTCATACATTTACTTACTAAGATCGTAAAATTAGGCATCTATGGATTGTCAGTATATAAAGCCCTACTTTTATCAACATTGACTTTGCACGTGCCTGGAACTCAACAGTATTTATTTACTCCACAACATTCACACATTTGAAATGAAATCTGGTGAAAATTTTGTAACATCTGGATTCTGTGGTACAAAACAAACCAATCTACTTTGTGTCTAATTGATTTTCTGCCTTAAAAATTTTTTTTAACTAATCCCGCAGTGTTACATCATCGGTTTGGTTGATATCAAAGCACAAAAAGTTATTCTTCTGTACTTTGATATCAAAGTCTCAGTACAATTTATAGTTCAAAATATTTACAAGTGAAGTTACAAGTATTCTTTGACCTAAGTGGCCAAACCTAACTCGAACATGATTTATACATTTCTGTCTGAACCTGATGGCTCTTGTCTGGTTCAGTACAAGTATCCACCCTCTATTAGGACTTAGTGCTATATTACAGCACTACCTTTTTCATTTCTATTTTAATTTGTGTCTCTTTGTGTGTGCTCTTTAGGATCTATCTTCCCATCTTATAAGCCCTCTGAAACCATCTTTAAAATAACCTTCTGGCTGGGTTATCTCAACAGCTGCATTAATCCTATTATCTACTCATGCTTCAGTCGGGAATTCAAGAAGGCCTTCCATAATGTGCTCCGCGGTCGCTGCCTGAGAACCGCTAAACCGCAAGGACACATCACCCCCCATTCCACCAGTCTGGGACCCACATCTGATCCCTCAACCCAGAATTGTGTCACTGTTTCCTCATGGTGTTGCTACAGGGCGCTGTCCTCATCATCTGTCAATGGTACGGATCAGTCTCAAGCTACACAAATCCAGAATAAGAATCTGCTGAAGACATGGTGTTTCTCAGCAAGTCAAACTCCAGTACCACAGAACCCCTCCAGTCAAGGATCAAACAAGGTCTTACGTCTATCTCTTGGTGTTAAGGGAGATGCTGTTTGATGGGTATGCTGAGGCAACATGGCATCTGATCTTGCATCTCTGTCTTGGTTTTACCTTGGGGAAACACTGAACAACTTTCACATGTATAGTTATATTCCTCAGAGGCATCAGAGTGACAGGACCAACTCGCCTCCAGAGCAGGCAGGAGAAAACTCTGTTACCTTAAGGCCTTATGCCAGTTTAAACACCTGTGTCAAAATAAGTAAGACTAGGGAAAATGAATAATTAATATTTTGTCTTCACTCATCAGCCACCACTACTAAGCTACTCTTAAAACATCAAAATATCCAAGAGGAGCTGCTCATTGACCAGCAAGCTGAAGGCTGTTGACAGCATGAACGCACAGCAATAGAGGTTCTGCTTTTTGAAAGCATGGACAGTTAGTAGGCATAATTATCTGTGTTTGGTTTGGCAGGGAAAATAAAAGGTAATATAAATCTTATTGAACAGCTATTGTAAAAGGACACCACAGACATGATCTCTTAAAACTTTAGTGGTGTTTCAGCAGACTGCACAAAAGCATTTAAGTGTGCAATACTCACACCAGAATAATCCGCATTCACGACATCTCAGCAAGTAGAACCTGGTGTGGGACTATGTTAAAATGACAGACATCTTACACTACTGTACAGTCTGACAAAAGTTCCACACCTGTGATGTATTCAATGTCAAAAATGTGATAAATCAGAAGAACTCTAAAGCAAGCTGACAGCCCTTATATGTTATTGCCTTATAAAGTTATATGTAATTGCCTGCTAACACATCCAGCAGACACAAAGCTACTGCATCAAAGTCCAATAGTCACTCTCCTTTTAGCTCTGTTTTGGTCTCTACCAACTCCTGAAAATAATATTTGGCTCATGAGCAGATGTTCTACCTTCTCCAGATTGTCGCTAAGTTTGTCTGCCTGTCAGGTATAGTAGCATACAGTCAATGAATCAGTGCTATAAAACAAAAACAATGAGCTGACAGAGACTAACAACTAGAGGTAAAAGAACGCACTCAATGAGTGCTTTTACATTTTTGAAGGATCCTGTTTTAGCATTTGTGCATAAAAACATCATATCCCATATCAGAAAGAATAAGCTCTTATCCCAGTTTTGAGAAACCTGAAAATGCTAAGCAGAGTGCTTCAAAATAATCTGGGATACTGTTGTATGTATACAACTTATCTAAGTCTCTGAATGTTCCAAACTATCTGCACAGGCACTGCTACAGCACACACGTGACTTCAGATAAACACAAACGATGTTGGCAGCAACAGCATCTCATGGCTGGAGCGACGGAGGTAGTGTTAAGATACATGCCAACAATAATTACAAACAAATTGTTTTACCAAATAGAAAAACAAATAGTTTTACCAAAAATGTCCTAATTATAATATAAGCTGTTCATATTGATGGATATAGAAGATGACACATCAGTAACCAGGTTACTAGTTTTTATCATGTATACAGGGGTATGCATAACCAGGTTTCTCTGTTCCATGTAAATACCATATGCCAAATATGATCAAAACCGGGATACTCCTACATTAAACCGGGATACCATGTCCATGTAAATGCAATCAGTTTGATTCTGATTCTTGATGTCACTAGAACTGAGGCTTAATTCAAACCCAAGTCTCAATTTAATGAATAAAGAGGATGCATAGTTTTCAGGTTTGTACACCACTGAAATCAGAATCAGCGATATGAACCCTAACTGCCAGAAATATAAATTGTTTGATTTTCAAGTTTAATTTTAAACTGCCATCATTCGGAAGCATCTTAGCTTTGGTTTTTTTGGCTACATAAAAATAATGACATGGAAGTGACCTTCACTGACCAATATCCCTGGTTAAATTTTTTAATTTCAGTGCTGCATATCCCCAGCAGTGCAGGACAACCTCTCTGCTGCATCATTTGTATGAAGGAAAGCCATTGTTATCCACAATGCTGTACAGGCACAGGGTCTTTGAAATTAAGTTATTTATTCACTTGACCAGAGTTGGCCCATTTTCTAAAGTCTGGTGGTTGCCCAGCTCATTTGCTTATGCTTAAGTTCAGTTCTTCACTTTGCTAAAGTGTGTCTCTCAAAGCTAATTATTATGCTATTAAATCCAAACAGTGCCCTAATGCTTGCCTTTTTTGAAGATGAACTAGGTAGTTCAAGTGTGTGCACATTGTATACATCCCCAGGTACTGCACATTGCTCTTGTGGTTAAACTACACCTTTTCTGCCCCATTAACATATCATTACCAGCTTACAAAATGGATTTTTGAGATTCAAATTGATTCAGAGTCATGCAGGGCAAGAAACTATTCTTATGTGCCACTGTGGGATTAGTGGGTTCCTCTGCATTATGCTGTACTTGCTCATTTGAATTGTTGGCAGTGTTTTAATTAAAAAAAAAAAAAAAAAAAAGTCAATTATTGGAGCTTTAAATCTTACTCATTTTAGTATTAAGGCTGGAGATTGATTTCCATTTGTTGCCTGTGGTTGAAGAACATTACTGCGGGGTTGTTATTCAGTTAATCAAATACATTTTGTGATGTGCAGGAGGCCACAATATAAAAGGTGACATTGTGAAAAGATATGGAAATGTGAAAGGACACTGAACTTTTGTGATAGAAAGGTACAAAAATATTACTGTAACCTTTTATATATAAAAAAAAGAAAGATTGCCATAACATATGCCAACAAAGAATCTGCTTTCAGCAAAGAGGAACATTAATATTGGCCAGAAGCTTCAATGAATTAACATCTCTCTGACCAGTCGCAGCAAAAACAGAAAGCTTTTCACAAGGTATTTTTCATTGCAGGCTGATTGCACTGGTTTGTATTATATTCTATGCATGTCTGCTGTTCTAACCCACATTGTGTCTTTATTGAAATTAGGTTTTTTAACAAAATAAAGTTGCCCATATCACACAAACTGCATGTCAAAATAATGCACACTTCATTAAATAACATGTCATGAGCATTGGTTAATAGCTTTAAACGCATGCTTTGAGTGTCTTATCTTTTTCTAGGAGCTGTCACATCATTCTTCTCAGCTATTAATCCTTTGCTTCCCCTGTGTTACAAACCAAGTGGTTTTTCTCTGCGGTGCTTAGGTTAAAGGGATTTTAAGACCCTACAGACAACAGTGATGAACACCTGAGAATGCTTATCTCTATAAAGCAGGATGTTGAGAGAATTTCTGGAAGACAAATAACGTGTCATTTCCCAGTCACCTCAGGTTAGGGCACGATATGAAGAGTTTTCTTCACTGTGTGGGATTTGTACTTTAACAGTGGTGTTTCTCTATGTACAGCGCCTACAGTTATGGGGGATAGTGCTTGTTTAAATTCTGTAAACTCTCACTTCACACTAATATCACTAAACTGACTCAAATAAATAAAGATGCAGCCAAGAACCCAATGTTACACAACATTAGGCAACAAGTGGTCTGAGGTGATGTGTTGACCTTTCATTTGAGAGGTATGACTGAATAGGGGGAAATGATATGACATTTCACATTTGAACTTGTATCATTTCTTTATATATTCCCTTAAATCTTTATGTTTCACTCTGAAAATATAAACACAGAACATTCCCAGTGGTAGACTGACGCTCAGAGAGAGAGACTCACCAAACCATTGCTCGCTTTCTGTGTGTGCGCACATCCACAAGCAAGTCAGTTTCATTGCATGTGCATTCTGGATTGGGGTTTGTTTTTTTTATGTACGTGGGAAGAGCAGTTAGGTGTCTGCGTCTGCTTCCATCAGTGCTGATATTTATGGAAATAAATGCATCAAATTCCAATTAAACACGCAGCTCTCATTTACAAAAGGCGGCGCAGGATTCAAAGTGTTGTAGCAGCTGTTGTATTACAGCAAACACTGTTGTGATAAATAGGTCCAGGCCCCCATTACTGCAAAGACAAGCCTCTATTGTTTAACCTTATCAGCTGACTTAGCAAAGTTATGTTTCATTACAAGTGGCAATCACAAGTAATCGTGATGTAGGGCAGTGTGTAATGCAGATGAGAAGAACTGTAACCTCATGAGGAAGTAACAGAGGCCTCATAATTTGCAATGAGAAAAACACAGTTATGCATCAAACTGGATAACTTCTGAAAATCTTATTTTACAGTTGTTCTAGGCGATTGAGCATAAATTTAAAATTTTATGGACACTCGAGTGTTAGTATTTCACTGTAATGATGGATTTTAAAAGTATATTATGTGGATAATTTGCAGAAAGGTTATGTGACTACACCTAAACCACCCAGTGCATCATCATAATGCAAAACTGTGGCCTTTAATCTAAGGCAGTTGTTTTATCATGTAGTTCCTGAATTCTGAACACAAAATGTGAGAAAACTGAAATAAATAAGGTGCTGGGAAATCTTTAAGTAAGTAATACAACTTTGCCTCAAACCTTTATTACCAAGTTTAAAACACAAGGAATTTGACTCCACTCCACAGTGGCCCCAAATAAAATATCAAAAAGAAAAACAAGTGATAAATATATACACACAATGTAAAGAAAGAGCTTATAGGTGTGTACAGTGGTTATATTTACAGGTATTACACTGAGGGTTGTTGTTCTCTTATACAGTCTGTGTTCATCAGAGTGATGGCACAGGAGAAGAAACTGTCCTTGTGTCTGGTTGTCTTGGCGTACAGTGACCTGTAGCACCATCCAGATGGGAGGAGTTCAAACAATTTGTGTCCAGGATGTGAGGGAGGGGTCTGCTGAAATCTTCTCTGCCCTCATTTTGACCCATGAGGTGTACAGGTCCTCCACGGAGGGCAGGCTGGCACCGATGATTCGTTCTGCAGTCCTGACTGTTCGCTGGAGTCTGATCCTGTCCTGTTTGGTTGCCGAACCAAACCAGATAGTGGCAAATGAGCAGAGATCAGGCTCAGTGATTCTCCTGTAGAACTGTATCAGCAGCTCTTGAAGCAGGTTGACCTTCCTGAGCTGGCGCAGGAAGTACATCCTCTGCTGTGCCTTCTTGGTGATGGTGCCGATGTTGGACAACCACTTCAGGTCCTGGGAGGTAGTGGAGCCCAGGAACTTGAAGGATTCCACTGCTGATACAGTGCAGCTGAGTACTGGGGGGGATTCACTGAAGTCCACCGTCATCTTCACTGTGTTGAAATGATCTGGTACAATAAACCTATCTGCATTTCCATTCTCATCTGCAACACAAAGCATTTATTTTATCCCTATGATTCCACCCTCTAGGACCAGTTTTTGCAGTTCTTGAACAACCCACGGGCAGGAACGGTGCTGTGTACGGGGCCCAGCCACTGTACACAGCACTGTGGGTCAAAAAATATTCCCAAGCCCTATGCTCATCAGCCTTGTGAAGCCACTTTAGGATGTTTAAAAGCCAAAGGCAGAGGTATGATCACATGATCCTCTTTAACCCTTGTGTTCTGTTAAGGATCATAAAGTCACATCATTTATTTCCCAAAATGTGAATATACAGTGAGGAACAGAAGTATTTGAACACCCTGCGATTTTGCAAGTTCTCCCACTTAGAAATCATGGAGGGGTCTGAAATTCACATTGTAGGTGCATTCCCACTCTGAGAGACAGAATAAAAAAAAAAAAAATTCAGGAAATCACATTGTAGGTGTATGAAAATATACACATTGGTGATGAAATCAAGTGATTTTATTGCTGAAGCTCAAGAAAATAGTTTGTTCCATTTGTATCACTTCTATGCAACTTAAAGCTTTTTCTGGCATTTGGAGACATTAAAGTTCACGGTGTGTGTCCGTGAACTTCAAATAACATTTGAATGTTGCTGTATGAAAATTAATTAGAAAAGACCTAAAGCCTCCACCTCCATGGAAGATGCATTCAGTGCTCATGGCAAATAAGATTTGTTTCAATAACATTCAGCTCCCAGTTTGTACATCAAGTTCTCTTTCTTGGTTTATGAATACAGATTTCAACTATTCAGATAAACATAAAACCTTATTTCTGCCTCAAATTTTGCGGTTGTCAAATTTTTAATAATATTTTACACTGACAGAGTAGGTCTTCAGATTGTTCAGAAACAAAGTGATGGCTCTATCATAAAAAATAATGCTGGGTAAAATGTGTTATAGTACTGTAGCCACAGTTTGACTTCAGGTGGCAAACAAGCACAAACCATGTTTCGGCTGATTTCTGAAAGCCAGACTGAGCTTGAAAAGGTCAGTACACTTGTCCAAAGGTCAGTAATCCTATCTCCTCTTATACTGTACTAACACATAGGACAGCTTCAGTGTTCGGGTTAAATAAACACTGTGCCGTTCTGTGGCAGGTTTTCATATAAAGTTCATGTCAACCTTGACAATACATGAAAATAATTAGTACTTCAAGCAGAACTTTTCAAGCCTCTAAAAAAAATCTTCAGCAAAACTGTCTCATACAATATAAAAGTGTATGGATGGGTGTAAAGCACGAAATGAGATGCTTGATACATATTGTAAAGCAGGACTACGCTCGTTTTGCAACCTTTCATCTTTATGGTGTAGGTAGGTACTGTAGGACTCGGTTACAGACACACAGGTTCACAAGCAGTTGTGTTAAGAGGATAACTTTATGTACAGACATACTTACAGATCAGGCAGGGAAGAACAGAAGGTGAAGTCTGGGAACATGCAGTGTTCCCAGACAGGTGAGCAGTCCATATCTAGGCAAAAGGGGAACAAACAAAACAAAAAACCCAAGTAATAGATCCAAAACAGGTAGGTTATAAACACACAGTACACACAGGTGAGCATGGCAGTGCCAGGAAAAACTGATAGTACTGAGGGGATAATGAGGAATAGGTGTGCAGGTGGGCAGGATGGAGTCAGGTGATGAGAAACAGGGTCTGAGGTCTGAGGACATCTGGAGGCAGAATGGGGAATGACAGTTCATGAAAATGAAACAATAGCACTTACCTTTCCTCATAAACCCAAAATGAATGTAAATCATTAGGAGATATGGTTGGTGATGAAGAAAATCCCATGTTCAGAAGAGAAGCTCAAAAAGTCACAATTGTAAATTACATTGTCCTGTGTTGATTCTGGCCAGAGAGCACGAAAGGTTCATACAATATCGCATATTCAAATCATACAAAAAGAAAGAAAAGCTCCAAACTGATAGATCTTACACCCATATGTATCAAAAGAGAGGACTTTTGGAGGCTTCACGTTAAAGCCAGCTTCCTCATACACACATTGAACTGGAAACATAAAGAGCTACACACAGCATCTCTGAATTCCCCCCATGGCTGGTCAGGGGACATCAATCTGTCACAAGCTATATCTTTTTTAAGGTCTGCTTTGAAACCTGAGTGTTCTGTGTGCCAGTTTTCTCTTTCAGTATCAAGGCAGGTGAAATTGAGACTTTAAATTGTCCAGGGTTGTGAATGTTAGTGTGAATGACTGACTACAAATGTCAGCCAAGTGTTAGAGTTAGAGAAATCACAACAGCAAAATATGTGTGTATAAAATATGCTTAAATGCCATTCACATGATGGTCAGATGACAGAAACAATAAGCCTAACATCTACCCTGTCAAGTTTCACTGTTGTGGATCCTCTTTAAGAAACACTACCCATGGGACATAGCACACACAGGAAAGGTCATGATATTATATATTTAATCATTTCCTGCATGACCTCTCCTAATGAAAACACTAAAGCCTAGCCTTTAGCAATTTTGTTTTTAAAAAACCAGCTAGGATTAAACCTGAAGAGAAAGTCTCCACTGAATGAGAAAAAAAAATATGCATTTGTTCACAGTATTTTTTAGTCATCTCTTCTCACATTGTTTAATGTGTCTCTAAGGAAAGGAAAATGCTTTTATGTTGAACATTCATTCATCACATA